ATTTTATTTACCCTTCTAGATTTTTTCCTGTATCCTTTCTGTATTCCTTGTAYCCTTTGCCTGCATGCTTGTAATTCTTGTAGACTGATAGTCCAGCTCAGTTTTGGGGTTCTGCTGGGCAGAGAGACCAAGCCACCCCAGCACAAAGCTGGTGAGCCCCATCTTAAATCTCAAAGCTTCAACCTTGACTGAAATCTTCTTTCTGGAACATATTTTGGGATCTGCCTCATCTGGGAAAGATGCTYTAGAATAGGGGGACATTACTTCATTTGTTAAATTTCTTATTGGGGGATTCTAGATCAGCRGATRTGCTAATTTGTGAAATCCATAAAAATTGTACAGTGTTATACGTGGGGTGCATTTTTGMCGTTTTCYACCTTGAGCTGTGGGATCCTATTAAATACCCAGGTAAAACCCTTTTATCCCTTTAACYGTGTCTACCYCATGATTCTAAAAACAGCCAAAAAGGCAGCACTGTAAAGCCACCTGCACTGCCAGATCTGGATTTCTGAGTCTTTTCCCCACCCCATGGCATTGCCACCCAAAACCCCTGTAGATTCAGGGTCATTCTCACAGCCGGACACAGAGAACATTTCCAAGACATTGGGGATTTATCAATAAGTCCTGTATCCTACTGGATCCACAAAAACAGGGACTTTACCTYTACCTTGACGATGGCTTTCACTTTTTTTAAGCAACAAGCACTGATAAATAACACGGAAGGGTAACAGGGGCACCCGTGAGCAGCCGCTCATTTTGTGGCCGCTCAATTTTGGAGAGTGGCACTGATTTTTAGCTCAGCCTTGCGGGTCCCCAACCCAAACCTCTCCCAAAAATTTGTGATAAATAACACCGTGGTAAATAACAGTGTGGTAAATAACACCAGGGTAAATAAATAACACCGTGGTAAATAAATAACACTGTGATAAATAACAGTGCCCGAGCCAGGGCCGCAGACACCGCTCCCCTCACGGCTCCCTAGCAGAGCCCTCTCGCCACGGCTTCAGCGAGAATGCCTTTTGTTTACAATTTCACCAGCTGAAAGACCCTTTTGAGAACACAAAAAAAAAAAAAAATCTACACCAAAACAGAAGGGAAAGAAAGCAAGCTGAAGAGGCCACTATGAGGATCTAATGTATGGCTGAGACCACCCCTTGGCTGGCAGGCCGCGTTGCCATCAGCTGTATGCACGGGGGACGCTTTTGGGGTTTGGATCAGCTGTCCCCATCCCTCATTCATGGGATGAAAGCTCTGGTTCTGTTGGGAGGGCAGCATTCCTCAGCGTGCCAGCTGCATCCTCTGGCCTCGGAGAATTCATTSGTTCTGATGGTCACCGTGCTTCAGAATGATGGCTGTCATAACCCCACCGATAAAATTACACACCCCTGGCATTTTCCACATGGCYCATTCAGCCTCTCCCTAGGCCGCCGGTGGCTTCCTCAGATGCGTGGCACTGGAAAGATTTAACTTGCCAGACCTTTTTTTTYTTTATCTCTTTGTTATGTGCCAATTAAGTCTGTGTTAATCAAAGGCAGTATTTCCCCAATTTATCCCCCTCCTTTCCCCAGCCTCCTCCTAGGCAACTTGAGGGTTTGTACCCCCCTTCCTCCCACCTACAATTAGCATTCAGACGTTCCTCCTGGCAGAGCCAAAGCCTCCCTCCCTCCCTCCAGGAAGCTTTCTTCTTATAACACATTTTATATTTCCCTGCCTCTCTGCAAGGTGCTCCAGCCAGTTCCCAAACAAAGGGCAAAGTGACTTCCCTCAGACATGTGGAGCCTCCAGCCATTCTCAAACACCCCTGTGACAGTTCCCCTGCTGGGGACTGGCTCGAAAACAGAAGCCACATACAGTAAAAAAAAACAAAACAATAATTCATTGATTTTCTTCTGCTTAATTCCAAATTACCAAGTAAGAATATCAAATTCAGCTCAATATTGCCCTCACCAACAAACTGCAGGCCTGGGAGAGGAGCTGAGCTGCAGGTAGGGTGGAACCAACAGGAAAGCAATGCCAGCTTTTATCCTGCAGAGATCAGGATGCTCAGGCTGCAGTGAGTGCTTTGTTTCAAAGCAGCCTCATTTCTTTTTTTTATTTCTTCCTCTGAAATGGTGCTTTGGCAATGTGGCTGGGAAATGGCTGAGTTTTGTGTGTGTTTCTGAAACCTCACCRCAGGCTCTTCAGTCGTCTCTGGYTGAGAGAACTTTGCAGGCTGRAAGTGAAGGGGAATAGGCAATGGGAGCTGTGTGGTCAATATTCAATATTCAAAGTTTTCAAAATGCGAGAAATTGTGTGGTCATCAAAACTGTGCTGAGCAAGGCGAGCGCTACAACCATCGTGTCTGCATCTCTGCTGATTTTTATTTACTTTTGAGCTGACCTCATGAGCCTGGCTCTGAGAAAGAACATCTACCTCACTGTGACACAGTTTTGATGACCACACAATTTCTTGCATTTTGAAAACTTTGAATATTGAAATAAGTCACAGCATTAAAATTTTATTCCAAAAAAAATCTGCATAAAAGAACGACCCCATTTCCTCTGGCTGGGTGGCATTTTCAGCATGAAATAGAAGTAGCAGCTCGGGGAGAGGTGGATGGAGAAAGTAAAAGGACAACMAGTTCACAACCATTTGAAGGAGGAGCATTCAGTGCAGGAGAACGAGAGCAAAGCAGAGGAAAACTGCGGCATCTGCAGTATTAAATCMCACACAGAGACTCCCAATAATCTTTTTTCACCAGGCTGCTTGTAACCTGAACGTTTTCAGAAGCACGAAGATGATGTAGGAGACACCGAGAGCTGTGGAGCGAGGTCTGGCTGGGCTCCCCACACCAAACSCAGCTTTCAGAGCCACCGAGGTGCCACCTTGCCACCCCCAGGTGACACTTTAGGCTGTATTTCTGCCCCAAGTGGGGCAGGCTGAGCTGTGGGCAGCACCTGGCACAGTTTGTGAGCTCCACAAAGCAGGGAAATGCCCCTCAGCAGCTCCTCTGGAACAAGGAAAGCCCTCACCAGAGCTGTGAGGAGACCGCGCTCTGGTGAGAAGGGAGAGGAAGGAAAGGGAAAAAGAGTTTACTTCCCACAAATGCCTACATGAGAGGCAAGAGCAGATAAGGAGGGAGCTGATGCTGCTGCTTTTTATCTCGATGCACAGGGCAGGAAAGGGACATGCTTGATTTACATCTCCTTTCACCACGGTGCTGTCTGAAATGTCTCCAAGCTGCTGGAGAAGCTGCTCCTGCCAGGACCCAGCAACTCTGCCCACATTCCAGTAGGGAAATGATGCCTTAGGAGTTTTAGTTTCTGTATTTTCATGTATCTGCATTCTTGTACTTCTCCAGTGTACAGCACTAAAGCTCCTGTTTTATCTTTAGATAAAACAATTCCTCTCTGAGCCTGAAATCCAAGGACACTTCACTGCCTCAGAGCCCCAAAATATGGAAACAACAGAGAATTGGGGGGAGCAAGTTTGGGGTGGGTGACATCATCACCTGAAGGTGTCATTGGAGAATTGCGTCCCAATATATTCATAAGACAGAACTTATAAAAGGTGAAGATCTCGTGGCTCGGGGTCCATTTTGGGTGCAGCCTCAGAAGGAGGCCTTTTCTGCCCTGAATGTACCAGCAGGCCTGGATTAAATTTGTCTGGTTTTATTCTCTTGACTTTGTCTGGCCTCTGTTTTAGGTCAGCCTTGTTTTAGGCATCACCAGCAAGGCGCTCCTGGAGAAGAGCAAGGATGAGTTTCTCTCCCAAAGGTGCCACAGACAATGGGATGTGGCCGTGGGCTGTCACCACACAGAAGAGAARATCCTCCAGGATTCTGTTTTTGGATTAAAACCTGAGCCATCACTTCCAGCAGCCCAGATTGGACATTGTAATCAAAGCCAGAGTGACATGAAAAGCCTTGACCCCGGAGAAAAGGAGCAGCCCTGCTGTCAGCACGTCCATCACCATCCTGGTTWTCCTGTCTGCATAAACAAAAAATGATTGATTTTCCCCACCATATAGACAAAGGAACAGGATCTGTTGAGTGCACAGGAAACACCTTGCCCTGCCATCTCCTACCCGCAATTTTTCAGTTTATGACAAAAGTAGGTTTGTACATTATGTTATATGTTTATCACCACTGAGTTCTTTAGGGGAAAAAACACCGAGTTAAAGATAAGGTGTTGTGACTTTGGATTAAAGCACCCTTAAGGAGCGCCTTCAAATGACAGGAAAAAAAAAAATAAATTAAGGCCAGGGGAACCAAGCAAAGCTGACAAAGTGGAGGGAGAYAAATTATTAGGTATTGGAGACATGAGGGACCCTGTCCTGACAGGACTGACCAGAGCAGCAGTGAAGAGCAGCGCYAGAAACGAGCTCTAAGAAGCAAGAAAAAGTCTTGCTGTTGGCAAATCAAAGTGTCTGAATACTCATCCCTCCCTGCAATATCCAAGTAATACAGCTGGGTCAATTTTCCCCTGTTTAGCTCCAGAAAAGCCATCAAAATGACTCAACAAGAAATAGCAAAAAGGGGAGAAAAAAAATGCCCCTTTTTATCCAGCTAAGCCAAGCTGGGAGATGTTCTTTTGGCCWCCTGAGACAAAGGCAGTAATATTTCTCTCAGAATCACATTGGGGGGTCCCACCCTTATGTTATCAAGGCTGATAAGCCAATTTCAGAGATTCTCTTCTCTCCTTTCTTCATTTTAATTAAACTGTGATAACAAGAAGGGCAGCAGCTCCTCCAGTCCCCTGTCCATGCTCACCTAAAAGCAGAAATCATCCTCTGTCATAACAGCTCAGTGTCCTTGGTTTTGTGCTATCAACAGCTCCAGAGAGAGGAATAAATGATCAGAGGCCTGTCAGGATATCCTGTCATTCAYGGGGGAGGCTTTATTCAGCTTTCCAGTGAGAACTTTCAGCAAATACTCTGCATTTTGGAATCTCTCTTGCCTGGGCAAGCTCCACATGCTGTGTCCCTCACTCATTGACCAGAGTCCTGCTGAACTATTTGCCTAAGATTGCAGAAGAAGTAGCACCTTTAACAATCATTTCACATCAGCATTTCATATTTGGAGGGCTCTGGAAGAAATAAACACATTTCACAATGGAAAGAAGTCCAGGGTTTTTATTATTTTTKGCTTTTTTGGTTGCAGTGAAACTGTGTTTGACATCACAAGTCCAAAATGAGGTAAGAGGTGTTTTTTTATTATTATTTGTCTATCATATTATTTGTCTGTATTTATTGTTATTTGTCTATATTTATTATTATTTGTCTATATTATTTGTCTATATTATTATTATTCTATATTATTAATTGCCTATATTTATTATTATTTGTCTATATTATTTGTCTATATTATTATTATTATTAGTCTATATGATTATCTATCTATATTATTATTTGTCTATATTATTAGTCTATATAATTATTATCTGTCTATATTGTTATTCACCCATATTTATTATTATTTGTCTATATTATTAATCTATGTTGTTGTTTGTCTATATTATCATTATTTGTCTATATTCTTATTTGTCTATATTCTTATTTGCCCATATTTATTATTTGTCCATATTACTCAATGTTATGGAGTGAACAGTTATCAGATGCTGTGTTTTACAGAAGAAAAACCCACTTTAGCAGTCATGTGCATATAATAATGAATTTCAACCTAAGAGCTCTGTATTTCAGTGCTCTGAAATAACAGAAATTCATCTGTTTATTCTGCATGAGAATTTGACTCAAATTATATCAGATGAGTCCACTGAAAAAAACTCTATAAATGGCAAATGTGACAGAAGTCTATAAATGCTGCATTAATCAAAACAAATTGATTGTGATTTCTGAAGAAGAAGAAAGCATAAATATTTCTGTGTGAAAATTATCTGTTCCTACTAACTAAAAGGAGGAAAAGCGATTTTAGATGGGTAAAGAAAAAAAAATCTAATTGAGCTATTTAAGCTAATGACACAAAGTTATAAATTTACTTAAAGGGTTTGTAGAGCTTTGGGCAAGTGGTGCATTTGTCATGTACAAATYCTATGGATCTGTGGGATTTCACAACATCTGTTTTCACCACCCTCACAGAGAGGCAGAACACATTTAGAAGAGGAAACAAAAGGACAGAGAGAAATTGGGAGGGGAAARGGAAACACTCAGGTGTTTTACTGCTGTTGCTGTTGGTTGGGTGCAGTTTTTAAACGGAAAAAATACTCTGAAATGTACAAAAAGTACTGGGAGCTATGTTAAAGTTGTTCTTAAAAAAAAATAAAAATAACAGCCACTAAAAAGTCAACTTTCTTCTAAAAGCAGAAAAGGGAAAATGAGGAAATGGGYGAAAGTGGAAATAATGCTACCACTTCAAAACAAGTAGTGTTTCACAGCTGGTGGTAGAGAAAGGTTATAAGTTATTTTAAAATTTGCCTTTCAAAATTATCTGAATTTTATTGTTCCAAAACCAAAATTCTTTAGGATGCCTTTTTGATGACAACCAAACCTCTTATCAAGCAGTATCCAAATTACACCCACACCTGGACAAAGGCCACATTTTTCATTTCAAAGACACCTRAAAAGCATCTACACAGCAAAAGGTTTCACCACCCAAATGCTCCAATGTCACCCGAACCAGATTTCAACACTGCACTTATATTTAAAGTGTTTAAGATTTTATAACTTATARAATAAGATTTTATAACTAAAATCTGACAACGAAATAGATGCTGAAATGTGCYTCTGAGTGGGTGATGGCAATCCCACAGAGCTCCTCGGATGTTGTGGAGCTAAAGCTCTTTATCAGTGTCTGTGCTACATSCTCATGACATTTGCTGCTGAAAAACCCAGCTGCCAAAGGGAGAAACTGCTGAGTGAGGGATGTACAGAAATCCTGCCCAAGGTGCCAGGGTACCCACCCAGAGCAGCCAGGAGGTTCTGCAGARGCTGCAGCATCCCACACGTGCCCAGCAGGTCCAGTGCTCTCTGGACTGCCCAGGTTACGCTGCAGGTTTTTGAAAAAATTCACAAATTCACCACTTGTGAATGATGAATTCACTTCTACAAGTACCAGGAAGAAAGAAGATGAAGCCAACGTTAGATGTAGACCAACAAAGATTTGGGGATTGAAAATAAATATATCAAAATGGTTAAGACAAAAAACAAAAGGAAGGCTGCTCTTGTCAGTGTATTCCAGTGGGGCCAGGCCCATGAGCTGCCCCAGGCTTGAATGCAAAGCTGAATGGCATCCTTTGACAATTTGAAAATGCCAGCTGTAGCCCTTTAGATCATCATTGCCATGTTTTAGTTGAGGTGCCAGGGCRTGGGTTGGACTCAAAGATCCTGAAGGTCTCTTCCAACCCYGGTGATTCTGTGATCACGGTGGTTCTGATAATATTGAATCCACTTTTGAGAGGAGCCTTTGTTCCACAGGTTCTGTGCTCTCTGTGTGCCCAGAGCCACCAGCAGCTCCCTCCATACCTGGTTTAATTTTACTTTGTTCCATTTTTCAGTGTTTCATTTTCACTTTTCAGAACCAACTCAGTGATGCTGTCACTGTAACCTGGCTTTTAAGCCTGACAAACTTCATCTGTTGATAAAGCACTCTGAGGAAAAATATYACAGTTAGAAGGTTTTATCCTGCAGTGGTTGGACATATTTTGTCCGAATGTTTGCAGACAAAGTTGCTGCAAAGCACTAATATGTGGTTTAACCTAATTYAGCTCCCAAACAAGGAACTCCTGCTGAACAGAAAAGAGTGTGAGAACAAAGCTGAGTAAAATTTGCCATTTCTCACCAATGTCACTCGGGGTGGTGTTTTTCCTTCTTTTCAATCATTCTTCTCCTGTTGCAGGTGAAGAAGCAATGTGATCAAAAGCTGCTCATTAGGATGAAAACCAAATGTGTGCCTTGCTCCTTAAACCTCGACACCCCATGTCCTGCTGGTTACAGCAAAATTACCAACGGGACTGGGATCCCAGACTGCAGGTATCTCCTCTGTCAGGGCTTTTCTCCATGAGCAYTAAAAAATGGTAATACATGTCAAAAATGGTCTAGTCTGAGCAATTTTTTTATGGAACATTTACCATTGGCTTCACCAGCTCCAGAACCCAAGCTTCATTCAAGGTATTTGATGGTTGAAGTTAATCAACAAGTGACACAGAGGAAAATGAACATTGCTTTTGGTGGTCTRTGAGATTTTCTCTTGAATAATATCATAGAATCTCTTCCTTGTTTATTCTGTTTGATAAGAATGATACAAAAATATTTGCAATTTATATTATATCATATTACATTACATTACATTACCTTATATTATATTGTATTGTATTATATTGTATTGCATTATATTATATTGCATTATATTATATTGCATTATATTGTATAATATTATATTATATTAATTATATTTTATTTTCTTTTATTTATTATATTATATTAATGTATTAATCTTATCTATAAATCATATAAATAACAGATTTTTTCAGCTTTCTAGATCAAGGAGTTGTGGGGGTGAAGGGCAGGAAGAGATAGCTCAAAACCAGCTTGAAATCTTGCCATTCATATTGGAAAGGAAAAAATAAAACAACTTATTTATTTAAAGCATTGTAGAGAAAATTTAACTACTTTAGAGAAAATATAACTGTTTTGAGCTTTCTTAGAATTTAAAGAGTCTTGAATAATTTTTTAACACTTTTAAAATGGTTTCATATCATAATTTACAGGGAAAAAAAAAAGAGCTGTATTTAGGCTGGAGTAGGAAAATAAATAAACTGTTCAAAAGAWCCAGCTTCGAGGATCTCTTTAGATCTCAATATTCAATGTATCTTTTAATGAGGAAAAAATCCAGATCAATGCAACTGAGCTTAAAGTGCTCTTGCCTGACACCGAAAGAAGAGGAAGTTCAGAATTTTTATTTTTTCCCCATGGGAGGCTGTGAGTATTTTAAAAGAATTTTGGCTTYTTTTCCTCAGGTATTACCTGGAAATCAAAACACACACGCTTTCCTTCCCGGGCTGTCGGCATCGCTGCGTGAAGGAATTTGAACAACCCGAGTGCTGCCAGGGCCACTGGGGCCCAGACTGCTTGGGTAAGCTGCTTTTGGGGTTTGGAGATTTTATTTTCACACATAATTTGAGTAATTTCTTTAGAAACCATTGCTGTGAAAAGTTTGCTCTKCAGAGGCTTGTTGTAGAGGTAGAAATAAATAGAAATTTTCAGCTAAAACTTGGAGGATTTGAAGAAAAAACAGATAYTCAGAACTTCATCTAAAAAGAAAATATCTGTAGAAAATTTAAAGAGCCTCAGAAAACTTCCTTGGTTTTGTGATTTTCAAAACAAATCTTTACAGTCAATGACTGCAAAATTATTTCACTCGGGATGAGTGAAAGTCCCACAAAGGACTTTAAAAATTAGGATTTTCAAATCACAAGTTGAAATGTTTCATTTTAGGTCAAAGCCACCCTCGTCCACAGATAAAATATTTCCAAATCTCTTTAATTTTTTACTTTGTAATGCAAGGAGTAAGTTCTGTCTTATGAACATATTGGACCCCAAGATGTCAACCACCCCAAACTTGCTCCCCCAATTCTCTGTTGTTTCCATATTTTGGGGCTCTGAGGCAGCGAAGTGTCCTTGGATTTCAGGCTCAGAGTGGAAATGTTTTGTCTAAAGAGTGGAGAACGGTAGTTTTAGTGCTGTACAAGAACACAGATACATGAAAATATAGAAGCTAAAAAATCCTCAGGCATCACTGGAGATGATGATTTACCACCCCAGCCCCAAATGCAGCCKGGGTGCTCCCCATCCCATAATCAGGATCCTCTGGGCAGCCACACAAGGATTTCTGGAGTGGGGTAGAGTTCCCTGCCCTCCTCCCGTGTGGAGGAGGCTGCCAAGGTGAGGAAGCCCTCCCTTCCTTTGGACAAACTTCCTGACCCCAAAAAGCAAAGAATCAAGGTCTCAGCATTGTTTCATTTGAAGGGAAAAAAAAAAAWATTAGTTATCTCTGCATTATCATGACCTCTGTAACAGAACATGGCACAGCTCRGAATGTCAGGAGGAAAGACGGTCCTTCCTGAGGCCAGGCAAAAATCCCTGAGTAGGGACTTAATTCGCATTTAGCATCTGATGGCAAGGACAAAATTAGTTTTTTAAATAGCACCCTGACTTCCTTAAATGACAGCACATGCTGGAACAGTGTCAGTGGGAGATCTTTTGTCCCTTCCCTCCCCATAGAGAGCACCAAGCCATCCAGCTGCACACCCATCCCTCTGTAAAAAGTTGTAAAATCAAAAGCACAAAATCAAAAGTTGTAAAATCAAAGGGTCAGGAAAGGTGCAGGGGGAAAGAGCACAGCTTTTCAACCCTGCCAGCATCATCCACACACAGCTGGAAGAGCTCAGGTTCCTACCTGAGCACAGGTTCTCACTCTGGACAAATATTTCCATGGCTCCAGAGAAAARCCTGGGTACCAGCTGAGAGGTGTAKAGCRTGACCAACTGAGTAGAAARCACTGGAAGGATAAAGGGGGAGAAAAAATGTGAAAAGAAAAAGTAAAGGCCAAGAGGAAAGGTAATAAATTTAATGCTGAAAGATTATATGGTCCAAAATACAACTTTGCAAGCACTGCTCACTGCTTCAGCCTCACRGGTGAAGTGTTTTAAGAGGCTGTGTGTGATAACACTTGGAAAGTGCTGGATTTTACTCCATGAAGCAAAAAAAAAAATGAAGACAAAAAATAAAACCTGCTAGATTTAGGTTCTGCCTCCTGTGGCCCTGCTGGCTGCAGGAAACTCTTGATCTGCCTGGTCAAAAACTTGTACAACAAATGGTGATTTACCCAACTTCTGATACCGCTGGCCCTTGGTGCTGCTGTCAAAACCAGAGACGAGATGCAGTGAAGGCAAGGGGAAGTGCAATGAATGCCAAGGGRAAAAAAAAAAATCAGCAATTTTAAAGTGACTTTTCCTAGAAATTATACCATGAATTCTGAGTTTTTCTTTGCACATTCAACAAAAGCGTCAGCGCAGGGAATTTTTTTTTTCCATTCTGTGCRAATATTAATCAGTTGCCAACAATCCTAAAGATAAGCTGTCATCCCTTAGCCAAAAAACAAGATTCATTAAATGCCACTTTAAAGATTCAAATACACCTATTTCTTTCCCTCAATTGTCATTATTTAAACTAAATCCTTACAACATCTTATTATTTCAGYGTGTATGAGATAAACAGCTCTAAACTTCTCATCTTTGAATTTATTGTTTTTTCACAAGAAGATTTCAGGGATACAATGGAGCTCAGACTGCATTAAGGCATAAATTTRAAAATATTAACAGGTTGGTAGAAAGCCAAAGCTTTCAGTGGAATTAAGTATACCCACATGCACATTTACTTATTTGCTCATCACTCTGTCCAAATCAAACCCATTTTTACTGAAACTTCCACGTTACTTAAATACTCTAAACCGGGATTAACTTAGGCAGGGGGAGCATAAATCACAGAACAAACTCTTTCTGAGCAATAAATCCACCAGGAGAGCACCTGTGAGGCCAGCAGGAGTTTGACACATTTACACAGCACCTGCATCAAAATTATGGTGCCTAATGGGAATCCTAATCACAGGAAGGAAAGGCTTAGGGAGAGAGTTAATCCATCRTTTCCAAGGAGGGGCTGGACAACTGTGAAAAATAAGGATATTCCTATAGGAGAGAAAACCTGACAGAATGATCTGACTAAAAACCACTCTAATATACATTTCCTACAGTTAATCTTTCAGTAAAGAWTTGAATTTTGAATTATTTCAGGCAAAAAAAAAAAAAATTAAACTATTTTTATTTGGAAATATGGTCATTTTTTTTTTTTCTTATCTCATCCTGCTGGCTGGGGTTTTTGTTCAGGCTATCTCACCTCCTGTAATCATGATTTTAGTACCAGAGGCTCTGTAGAGCATAACACATCTTCAGCACACAAGTTTTCTTAGTGACCACAGCCCACTGGACAGGAYTTGGTTGTGAGACATCCAGATTTAAATTTCCAAGATGGTTTGGCTCAATTAACACGCTCTTAATGGAAATAGCAGAAAAAAAGGAAAAATTTTCCATGTAAAGCAAATGCAGTTTTGGTGGGAAAAAAAAATAAAGGGTTTATTAAATTCTAACTTAGCATGAAATAAAATCCTGAGAGCAAATTTTCAATCCATCAGATCAAAATCAGGTCAAAAACATCCACATATAAAATACTTCCAAATCTCTTTTAATTTTTTACTTTGTAATGCAAGGAATTATATCAACACACAGGAGTGGTCGGGAGATCTCTGTTATTTCAGRAAAGCCAAAATCTGAGAGTGTCTGCCAGGCAGAGGTAGAGCAGTAGGGATTAAACCACAGTGCACTTTAGAATAAGAAAACTATTTTTTTGCTCAATACTTTGACTTCAGTCACTGGCCTGAATTCCCAGAGAAGGGAGTGTGATGCTCTCTGCTGATGCTGAGATTCTCATGAAGAGATTTGGGTGGGTGGAAAACAGCAGCTGTCACCCCCAAGGTCCCTGTCTGGCCAAAACCTTGCAGAATCTGTCACCTGCAGAGGACAAAGGGCAGAGCAAGGTGGCTTTTGATGGTTCCAACATTGTCATTTCCAGCGTGTCCAGGAGGAGCTGYGTCACCGTGCAATGGGAGAGGACGCTGCTCGCAGGGAATCACCGGCGATGGAACGTGCACTTGCCAGGTATGGCCTTCCTTTGGAATTAAAAAAAATACAACGGCATGTCAAATACATTAAAGTATTCCAGAAACAGCACAGATGACCAGCTTGGAGTTCTCTTTTTTTTTTTTTTTTTTTTTTTTTTTTTTTTTTTTTTTTTTTTTTTTTTTTTTTTTTTTTTTTTTTTTTTTTTTTTTTTTTTTTTTTTTTTNTTTTTTTTTTTTTTTTTTTTTTTTTTTTTTTTTTTTTTTTGGCTTGGATTGGATTGCATGAATCTTCACACTGTTATTACTGCAGACTTAAGCATGTCCAGGTGAAATTATTTAAAAGTTCGTTCATCTCCTGACACAGGTGTTTTGAAATCCTCTATTTTTTTCAGAATGAGCTATTACTTGAGACTTTTTTCCATATTTAGGAAGTACTCATACATGGGGCTAAACTCTCCATACACTGTTCCTCTGCTGAGAGTGCAGCACGTAGTGCATAACCTTGGACAAAAAGATTTTTTTTTAAGAAACAATTCAAATTAAGCCTTTCTACCTCCCTCTACTGGTTCATCTTTAYATCAAAAATCCTCTTATAGGTACATGGGGAAAAGAGAAGGGGCTGAAATAGTCAGAAAATACAACATAACAACTGTAAGACTGATTTGGTCGTTAGGCTTGATTACTGTACCTCATTGTTAATTTGATATTCAGAACATCTGATTTGAAGACGTACAAAATATTTTTTTTTTAAGATGCAGCAGCAAAATTGTTCAAAAGACAATGTTTTCTAGATTATGGTCATTTTTTTTTTTCTTTTCTGATTGAATTTTTCATATTATTTCCCTTTGGCAGCAAAGGATGCTGTTTTCAGCCTGCCAAGCATGAATCTATCTGTAGAGAGATGGATGAGAAACTAAAGTTTTGATTTCTRTTGTGTTATCCACAGAAAGGGTTCGGTGGGACAGCCTGTGAGAAGTGTGCTGAAGACAATTTATTCGGTCCTGACTGCACATCAGGTCAGCTTGAGTTTCCTTTATTTGTTTAGGGAACAGAAGGTGAGTGAAAGCTGTGTTCAGACGCTGAAGAAAGAGAGAAATGGGGAGAGGGCTTGAACATTTCCCATCAGGAGCTGCTGTCTGCCTCAGAGAGCATGATGGGGAAAGGGAAAAGAGCTCTTCACTCCATTCTGAGCCAGGGAGCTCCATAATTCTGCCAAAAGTGTGGAAAAGTGGGTGTTTGGTTTGGTTTTGGGTTTTGGCTGGGTGATGATTTCATTGTTCAGCCATACTTCCATCACAAGTGGAGCTCTGAAAGAGGGATGAGAGCTGGGTACAGGTTTTAGGATGTATATCTATCCCAGGAATATATATTCATATCACATTTTCCACTTTTTCCTGTTTCTTTATTATCTCTACCATTTCAGCTCCTTGACCCTTGCTAAAAATTACACTGAAAAAAACCAAAAAACCCCACTTCAAAACAGGCTTAAGAATAAGTGATAATAGCTGTTTACCTCTAAGTAAAACTCCTTTTCTTCCCTCARGATCTACAAGATAACTTTACTTTGAAAAAGACACAAATGGTCTCAATTTCAATAATCTGTGTTGGCCTTTCTGCACTAATCCTACCCCAGTGCTGCCTTTTTCCACCAGCTGTCCACTGGATGCCAGTGTTGACACACAGAAATGAAACCGAGCCAGCATTTCCATGAAAATGGGGTATTTGAATGAATTCCATGTCATAAATGTAATTATTTTCCAATAAGCTACTGGAGGATTCAATTTCATATCAGTTTAAGCAACATTTTACACTTCAGCTTTCAGGTRTTTCAGATATTAGCTTTTCAGAGCACTCCTCCAAGTGTTCCAAAAGAAATAAAATATAGACCATGTTTATTTGTGACTACCTGTCAGTAACACCTTAGACGTTCCTGGTTTTTATGTTGTGACTACTAGCATGGGCAGGAAGTTATTAATTAATTAGTGCAGGTGATTTGCATGAACACAAGCTGTGTTTTTAAGCAGAAGTGGGTATGTTGCATCACTGAAGTTTAAGCATTAAGTCAGCAATATAATTCTGTACAACTTTCAGATTTTTCCAAGTGTCACTGTGAGTGGCCTTTTTAAAAAATCATCATTGAATCATCATAATTCAAACACTTATGACTATAAAGCTTTTTGAGTACACACCAAAAAAATAAAAGTATACTTTAGGAAAAAAAAAAAAAAAAGCTTCAAAAATTATTTTATAGAAGGAACTTATTGTTGGCTGAACTGTGAATGCATCATATTGTGTGCATATTGTCACTGGGTTTGTAACCAGAATATAACCAGAAATGAGAGAACAGAGGAAGAAAGAAGCCGGAGACTTTCATAATGATTAATTATGCTTTTAATTAAATAAGCTCTATCTAGGGAGGGGGAAAAAAAGTTGCAAAAGTCATCCTTTCCTTTACAAAAAAATTACTCATACTTTGCAAAAAAAAAACAGAGAATGCAAGCCTCAGACAACTAAAGTCTGTTTGCTTTARTGAACCCTTAAAATTAGTAACAATTAAATACAAAAAAAGTCAGTTCACAAAGAACTAAAACCCATTTAAAAACCAAACAAAAAAAAACCTACAAAAATAAACCTTTATCCATTCTATATGTTATATACAAATAAAAACTACTGTTAATTATTTTAATTCTTATAAAATACAAAACTTCTTTACAATAAATAATTTACATGCAAGGAACCCCAGAACAAAATCTGTGTGTCAATCGCCAGGTTGAGGTTCTTGAGAGAACCAATTGAGGTTCTTGAGAGATACAAACAGAATGGAAGGAAAAAGAATGCAATGTGTCAATTGTTAGTAATGAGGTCTGTGTTAGACGTTATATCCAATTTTGGCTTCAGAMTCTTTGTCACATTTTACAAGTTTTATGTCATCAGCAACGAGTCAGTTTGATGCTTATTGAGTGTCCTGAAGTTTTTCATTCCCTGGGCTCTTAGCAGCCTTCAAAAATTATTATTGTTATTTACTGACGGATGCAACTGCAGCTATTGATCACCTCCATGATCTAAGCCCATAAATACAAATTCAGGCACTCAGCTGAATGGCCATTAWTGTTACCTTTTCAAACATTATTTTTCTGTGAATCCAATCCATCTCTCCACACAGTTTGTGACTGTGTTCACGGCGTGTGCAGCAGCGGAGTTACCGGGGACGGAAGATGTTCCTGCTTGTCTGGATACAAAGGGCCACGCTGTGACCAGGGTGAGCAGGGTTTTTTCCATGTGAGATTTGCACAGATGTTCTGTCACAGCTGGAATTGGTAAGGAAGAGCTGGTCTCAGGTGAGCCACACCAGAGCCACCAAACACAAACTTCAATGTGTGAGCTCCCAGAGCCATCGCTGAATCCCCAAAAAGCAGATGATGGCAGCGATGGCATTGAGGCTGCTCGAGCAGGAATATTTTGAGCCCATTCTCTGCAGRATGCAGCCCCTCCTGGCACAGCTTGACCTGTCCCCTCTGTCCCTCAGCCACAGCAGAGTGCCAGGCGCTGCGCTGCCCAGTGAACTCCAGATGTGCTGCCTCAGGTGAGGATGGGACCCAGCTGCAATGCAGATGTGTGCCCGGCTTCCACGGGGACGGGACACGGTGTGAACGTGAGTAATTTCTGTGTCTGCCCCATCAGTGTCACAGTCCAGATATCAACATGCATTTGATCCACGTCTCACCATCTGATTTTTCTTGTGTTCATATCCCAAAGCACAAAGTAGATTCCTTCAGGATGGAACAAAATCCTAAAATGTGCTGGAGAAGCTCATCCACCCATGTTGCTAACAACTTTCAGTCCATGTGATGCCTAAAACTGGCTTACCTAAAACAGGGGCCAGACAAAATTAGGAGAGTAAAAAGCAGTTCTATTTATTGCAGGTCTATTCAGGGCAGTCCCAGCCCACCCACAATGGACAATGGCTCATGGGTTTTTCACCCTTTCTCACTTTTGTCCATTTGCACATCGGGATTTGCTGAATCCTCCAATTCCAGCTCAGCCAATGCAGTCAAAAACTCCAACTTGGCTCCCCCAATTCTCTGTTGCTTCCATCTCTTGGGGCCTGGCCCAGGGAGGTGTCCTTGAGTTTGGGGCTGCAGAGGAATTGTTTTGTCTTAAATCAGAGAGCAGCAGCTCAGCACTGTCTGTGGAGTATGGAGTTATCCACTAAACAATTACAGGATTATAATCCATGGAAAATAGAGAAGCTAAAATCCTAAGGCATTGCATGCAACCAGACTAAAGCGAGTCAACCCCCTTTGAAATACGTAGGGTGGATATTGGGTCATCAAATCCCCTCCTGTCACATCCCTCTGCTGGGGGAAGTTCAGCCTCATTGCTTTCATSTCTTAAAATCAACAACAGCAACCAAGGGCTCGTGGTTATTGAGCACCCATCCTGTGGCAGCTCAGTTCCATCAGCCCCCTACACCCTACAGACAAGTGAAGTTCATTTTCACTTTTTTGTTTTTCATGAAACAAAGCTGACAGCATCTCAGCTAGAGGTGAAGTCCACCTTAGAGGTGTCTTTATAGATTCCTCAGCTTTGCCACTGAATGCCCAGATTAACTGTGGATGAGTCCAGGTTTTCTTTTCTCTGCTTGCATTACATTTTATGGTACCAGCTCTTCTTTCTARACCAATTGCAACTGATGCCTTMGGATTTTTAGTTTCTTTATTTTCATGCMTCTGTGTTCTTATACTTCTGTAGTACASCACTAAAACTACTGTTCTCCCAACAAAGAATATTGTTTAATCTGATTCAGGAAGCACAATTTAGTTGATGCTGGCTCAGATCAGGCCATAAATGGTTCATATTCTGTCTGGAAATACTTGGAAATACTTCCTGTTCCTTGGTGTTATCCTCTGGGAATAGGCTCAATCACCACCCGACGGCAAGACATCAGAAAGTCCTTCCTCAAGGAACATGAGGTTCTTCTGGTAGAATTTTCATTTCTTTATGATGAAAATGCAGAAACCAACAGAGAAGGAGGGTGCTGGTRTCCCTCCCTCTCTTGGGGTTTGATGCAACCTGCGTGGATGCTGATCCTCTGTCCCGCTGCCTTTGGGCACCAGGTTAATCTGTGGCTTAAAGTGGCTTTTCCACTTGACTGGCTGGGAAGCAGAAGGCAAACAGCTCCTCCAGAGCAGCCTGGCACCAAATTGAGGGCAGCAGTGCTGTCTCAGATTCAGCTTGGAGATGGCATTGCTTCTGGTGGATTTGAGCACCTGGATGTGTGTGCATGGGTGAGTTCACACTCATGCACCAAAGGGAAGGCCTGAAACAATAAATAAAGTTGAACATTGCCAGGTCTCCCAGTCCCAGCTGAGAGGAAAGAAAGGGAGAGGAGGAGAGGAGAAATCAGTGAGAAGCAGCACTTTTATGTGTGTGCAGAGCCTGCCATCCTCTGCATASAGTGCATGCTTAACCTTATCCTAACCTGGACACAAAGGTGTGAGGAAATGCTCTGCAAGCACTRCTTGGTTTTGAAAAAAAGAATAACCAATGCCATTACCTCAAAAAAATGGTCCGTGGAAATGGCCAGAGAGCTTCTAGTGCAGTCCTAAAAGCAGATCAGTGTGGAAGACTAAAACACTTTCTGGCCAATTTTCCCTATAGCTGAAGCAATGACATTTTATTGTTTAATCGCCGGAAAGAAACCAGCGAGGGCCTATTGTACTGAGAAATATTTTCCAACTCATCCAACATGTGCTTAAACCCTGAACAGACCTCCTACCACCCCTCTGACCTTCTCCAGTTAAACCCCACCAGAGAACAAGGAAATGGCTGTGATGTTTTAATGAGCACGTTGCATGGTTTAATCTGTTGATGACTCCATTTGCCAAGTTAAGGGATCGTTTGTGCTCAAAAGCAAACAGCCTGTTGCTACGTTAGCACAAACACATTCCTGCCCTCCATCTCCATGCCACCACAGCAATTCAGACTTGGCTGRATGAGAAGTTTAGTCTGCCCAGGCTTTGTTTGGCATGGAGGTGATGCCTGAGGATTTTTTYAGCTTCTATGTTTTTGTGTAGCTGTATTATTGTCCTTCTCCAGTGTACAGCACTAAAGCTCCTGTTCTCCCATCTTTAGATAAAACAATTCTTCTCTGAGCCTGAAATCCAAGGACACTTTGCTGCCTCAGGGCCCCAAAATCTGTAAACAACAGAGAATTGGGGGGAGCAAGATTGGGGTGGTTGATATCTTGGGGCCCRATATATTCATAAGACAGAACTTATAAAAGGTGAAAATCTCATGGCTCGGGGTCCATTTTGGGTGTAGCCTCAGGAGGAGGCTTTGTCTGCCCTTAATGCACCAACAGGCCTGGATTAAATTTCTCTGCTTTTATTCTCTTAACTTTGTCTGACCTCTGTTTCAGGTGAGCCTTGTTTTAGGAATCAGAGGTGCTCTGATAAACTCTTGTCTTCAGTTTTAGAGCTGTGGGCAATAATTCATTTGCTCCACTTCTTCTTTTTCACAAGCTATCAACCCCTGCTCCGAAAAGGTCTGCGATCCTAACGCAATCTGCATTTACCTCGGGCCAAATCAGCACCAATGCAGTTGTCAAGAAGGTTACACAGGGGATGGTCAAGTCTGCTTGCCCATAGACCCTTGTCAAACAGCCCATGGGAACTGCCCTGCACAGTCCAGCACCTGCATCTACGACGGCCCAGGAAAGGTCAGTTTGACTGCCCAAGAGAAAATAACACTTTTTCTGCAAAAAGCAGCCATGAGGGTATGGAAACAGGCGTGAAGGAAATCAAACTCATCTCCTAGCTGTGCCACAAGCCCTGCTGTTGGCCAGGAAGAAGTCCCTTTACCTCCCTTTCCCATGTATGCATGCAACGTTTCCCCCACAAAAACAGCAGTGTTCTTTCTTCTGGGAATGTTTTGACTCCAGATTGCCTCTCCAAAATTAAAGTACTGAAATCAATCTCCTCCCAGGTAAATTTGGTTTCTCTGGCACTGCAGGGGTCTTGTAGGACCAGCAGACCCCTTATATAGGTACCACAGATACATGTCTGAAGTGAGTTTATTTAGGACAGTAACCTAGGGGTCTTTTGGAAAACTATCAATAAACAGCACTTCATAAAGATTGCTTATTATTCATGATGTTGGGAACAGGCTCGGATTCCTGGGTGTAAAAATCACACCATCAAAAAAGCAAGACTTCAAAGGGCCTGGTTTGCTTTGGACACCCTGAAGAGCCAAAAAGGGGTTGGGTTTGGGGTTATACGGGGTTGTTTTGCAGTTCATGGTCACACCTCAGTGAGCTGCAGAGCAGCAGTGCTGGTACATCTCATTTATTAATTGTACACTTTGGCTGTACTCTTTTTGGGAGGCAGAGGGCTCTGGGCTGGAGCAGAGGGCAATGTTGGACCTAGCCACACTGATTTTAAATGCTCTCTGATCAGGAMAATTAATCTACAGTGCTTTAGCTGAAGAAAATATATGTGAGAGTCAGTATTTTCTGGAGTGGATAATGGAAGGGAGTTGTRAAAACATGATAAGATTTATGTTTGTGTCTGAACCCACCAGGTGATTAACTAAGGCTCCCTGTCCTCGAGCCCCAGTTGCAGAAAGGATCCTGAACCCACAATCTGTGCATGGCTGATGTTCTCTCCCCTCTCACACCCCTCTGTTTCAGTCCCACTGCGAATGCAAGGAGCATTACACCAACTTTGTACCTGGGAAAGGCTGCAGCATGCTGGACATCTGTAAAACCAACAACWCCTGCCACAAAAGAGCTCAGTGCTTGACAGTGGCACCCGGCCAGATCACGTGAGTCTTTTTGCTTGTTACAGCTTCACTTATTAAAATTTCTTATTAAATAATATTAAATTAAAAATACTAAATTATATTAAGTAAAAAAATAAATAAACTTATTAAAGTTTCTCCCCCCTTCCCTAGTAAATGGGCTGCTGAAACAAATCCTGTGGATGAGCATCTCCTGAAGTTGTCATTAATGGCTCCTTTATAGAGSACAAACCACAAGATTGAACGGGGTTAGGGTCAGCCAATTAACAGAGTGTTGGATTTCATCAGGCCATTTGGTAAAACCTRTGAAGTTTTATTTTTAAAGCACTCAGAGGTCATTCCTCCACCAATAAATCAAAGGGACCAAACTCTCTTTTCCTCAGGGTGAGCAGCATTGTCTGTCCTGCAGTTAAAGGCTCTTCCAAAACACACTAAACTGCCTCTTGGCAGCCATCCCTGGCACATGCTGCCCCTTCCACTGTGCCTGGGCACTGCCTGGGGAAATGCTGCTTGCTGTGGGCCAGGAACATGCCAGGCAGCATGCTGCAAATTAATCAGCRTTAATTATGGGACAGCTCTGGAGCTCTGCCTCTTCTGAGTGCACTAATGCAGCTACAACCAGAGAATCTGCTCCCCATGCTGTGAAAGCAGCACCAGCCTCAGCAGATGCCTTAAATCCTCGAGCCAAGCCAGGTGGGAAGCTGCAAAACCTCTGGCAGGCTTTGCTTTTCCTGGACAGAAATGTGCCATCCAGCTTTTGGGAACAAAGTCAGGCTTAGCACTAACCCCGACAAAGCTCTCTGAAACCCCAGAATTTGTCTGACACATTTCTGCAGCCAAATGMTGGCAGGTACTGAGTTAAAGAGCTGCCCCTCAAATGTGAGTTTTTGAGAGCTGRGAGCTTGAACTCGGAGGATAAGACAGGCCTTTCATTGTAAGTTAGGAACAAATTATCACATATTTCTACAGGCAGAAAGCATTCACTCAARAGAGTGTTCTTCCTGCCACTCCTTTTCACACAGCTTTCCCTCACAGGGTGCTATCAACACCTCTTTTGTGTGAGCTGGTGTGCATTGCAAACCAATTTATCTAAAATATTCCCTAATTCTCTTCTACAGCATGGTGTACTGCTCAAACTGCTCAGCACAAACTCACAAAAAACTCAGTATAAAGTGCTACCACACTGCACAACCTCAGCTGAAATTTTGAAATAAAATTCCACACCCCAAATCAGGAGGTTTTTTTTTTTTTTCTAGTTAGTCATTCTTTCACTGTTCCAGCACAATTATTGAAAGCCAAGGATGTTTTGAGGACTTTAGAATGGGAAAATGAAAAATTTGTTATTGGGGATGGAAAAAAGAAATCAAAATGGTTTGGATATCATTCATTTAATGGTATTTAATGGCAAAAAYGAATACAGAAGAATGGAGTGGGATTGAAATCAAACTTGATTTATGGAAAATCCATTTATGAAAGAGGAACTTTGCAAAGAAAAACATTTATTTGTTAATGTGGGCACAATTAAGTGACAGACTGTATTTTGGCTGCATCCCAGGCTTTAAATGTACTTGGGAGGGCTTTTTTGGTTGCTTTTTTTTGGTTATTTCTTTTTCTAAAACATGGAGCTGTAACAGAGGCCACAAAAGTGCATTGCTTCCTTTCTATTTTTGTTTTGCTTTGATTTTGGTTTGTTTGTTTTTTTTTAAGGATACAGCTTTGTTGTTGCCTTTCCCCACAGTGACAGTTCCACTTTCTCCAGAACCACATTATCTGTAGTGGAATAAACCTCTCATAGAGGCAAAGAAGTAAAAAAAACCCGAACATTTGAATTGTGAATATATCACAGCAACCTCCTCAAAAATCACAATTACCTGTAATAACAGAGTTTTTCTTGATACCACTCTTGTTTTTCCTTTAGGTCTTCAATTAGTGGCTTCMTCAGCAGGAGGGAGGAAATGCACAGGTTGAGAGTTCAGTCCCTTACAACCTGTATGGGATTAATCTGTAATTGCTTYCCTTTGGAATCCAAACTCTGTTCTTTGGATGCCCACTCAGTTATGAGCAGCATCGTCCTCAGGAGGGAAGTTTCAAACTATGCAGGCATTTCTGCAGTGCCCCCAGAAATAACTTATTACAATCAAGAAACTTATTATGTTTAACCACCTGCTTCTTTATGAGCATTGGGTGAAAAAGAGTCAAGAGCATTATTTTGAAAACTGGGTCTGATTTGTGCCATATTTCAAGGACAGTTTCTTTTATCTGTTGTGTTATTTCTCAGCTSCTTTGAAGCCTCAGGTGTTTTCTTCTCTGTTCAAAAGTGGAAGGGGGCTACCTACAGAAATATTCACCCCACCAGAAAAAAGAGATCAGCTCCCAAGGAGCAGCTGTTCCCTGCTCCCAGCTGGAAACCCTTCATCCAGGCTCCMCAGCCAAATTCTCTCTGCTCAAGAGATCCCCTTAAAAAGAAGTGGTTTCACCATCAGAACAGCATCCTAAAAATGTAAGATGCTTTTTAGACTGCTGTTTTMAGCCAGGGTCAGACAGTCACAGCTTGAGCCTCTTGGCCAAAATCTCAGCACCCGTGTGCTGCTCCCCAGACTGGGGGGATGTCCAAAGAATATCACTGTCACCAGACAAACAGCCACAGCAGAGACCATTCATGGGAAAAAGGAGAGGTTTTGGCATCAGGCTGGTGCTGCTGAGGGCTGTGAGTGGCACATGTGTGTTTTTAGCAATCAGCAAATGCAGATGATTAATTACGGAAACGGCATCTTTTGCTCAAGTAATGTTCCTTTCTCTAGTGATGCCATTAGAAAGAAAAAAAAACATCCAGAGAGATGAATCATTATGGATAGGGCTGGTGTGAATATTGAACATATTGAATATTGAACATGCTGCAGATTTCACAGGGAAAGGCTCTGTTAAAGTCCATCTGTCCATCTCCTGGGCACTGTGTTCTGAGTCTGCTTTGGGCATCCAGAGTCAGGCACACATGGCCAGCACCTCTCACAGGCTGGAGGCCCCAGGAGGCAGCCAGGGTGTCACAAATGAGGTGCTATTTCCAAGACACAGACAGCAACCACACATACACTTAAAAAAGCAGGAGATTTTGTGCTGCAGCATGAAAAAAAATAATAGTGTTAGAACTACAAGTATTATTGTATTGTGTTATTGCCCAAAATGATTGCATTACTTAAAGGGCAAACTTTGCATTATTGAAAGGGTAACAAAACACCACTTTGTTTGTTGGAAGGACTGACACCAGCCTGATTTTTCTGCAAAACTCATGCAGCTGTTCCAAGGGCTGAGGAGCTGCCATCTCCCTTAATTACCATTAATTACCACATCCCATGTAGTGAGTGAGGTCTGCACCCAACAGCCTCCCCATGGCAAGATTGGCACCCCATTGATGCTGTGCCTCTCCTCACCTGCAGACAAGCAGCTTCAGGACATTTCTGGGCTCCAAAAACCATATTTTTGGGATCACACAGCCTCTGCTCAGAGATCCTGCAAGACAGACCCCGCTGTGTGCTGGCCCAGCTGCCAAGAGCCCATCCCACACACTGACACCTCCCAGAAGCAAAGAATAAACTGCACAGCCCTGGTACCCCCTGGAAATGGGTACCAGGTGCCCGTGTCGAGAGATCCCCAGCTGAAATCCCAATCCTTTCCAGGTGCAGGTGCCAGGAGGGCTCTGTGGGGAATGGGTTTGTGTGTTTTGGGAGCATCGTGGAGCGCCTGCGAGAGCTGAACGCCGCAGCGGGGGCACGCTGGCAGGGCAGGCTGAGCTCCAGCCTGCTGCTCATGGGTGAGTGGCCTCACACAGGCAGGGTCAGCTTCTTCCCCTGAGCTGATCCTGCCCTTCTTCCCCCAAASCCCTGCTCAGTGCCACCAGCAGCATGGCACAGCACACACCCTGCTCATCCCAACACCCACACCCCCTTAAAGCTGCTCTGCTCTTCATTCCATGCAGCCTGCAAGATCTTCCAGTCAGAACTGCTGATTGTGTTTCCACAACCCCTCACACTTCATTTGATATCACCAGAGCATTTTTCCCCACGGTGTAATAAGTGGGATCATCCCGCTGCTTCTTTTCCCTGCCCACGTTGCTTTGGACAAATGAGGTTTGGTCTGGAATTACACACAGCAGTCCACTAAAATCACTGGCATTCCCAGTGACCTTGTGAGATGAAAAAYCTCTGTGCCTTCAGCATTTCTATAGCCAAAAATCTGAACAACCTCACTGCCTTCATCATCTTCTCTACAKCCRAAAATCTGAACAACCTCACTGCCTTCATCATCTTCCCTACAGCCAAAAATCTGAACAACTTAACTGCCTTCATCACCTTCTTTAAAGTCAAAAATCTGAACAATCTGACTGCCTTCATCATCTTCTCTACAGCCGAAAATCTGAACAACCTCATTGCCTTCATCATCTTCTCTACAACCAAAAATCTGAACAACCTCACTGCCTTCATCATCTTCTCTACATCCGAAAATCTGAATAACCTCACTGCCTTCATCATCTCTATGGCTAAAAATCTGAACAACTTAACTGGCTTCATCACCTTCTTTATAGTCAAAAATCTGAACAATCTGACTGCCTTCATCATCTCTATAGCCCAAAAATCTGAACAACCTAACTGCTTTCTTCATCTCCTCTATAGCTCAAAAATCAGAACAACCCAACTGCTTTCATCCTCTCCTTTACAGCAAAAAATCTGAACAACCTCACTGCCTTCACCATCTTCTCTATAGGCAAAAATCTGAGCTATGAGCAAACACTGCTAGAATTGATCTGGATCTTTGAGTTCAACTTGTAAACGTGAAAAAAAGCTCAAAAATCCTTCTGTTTAATATCATTTCCTCAGTCCTTGACATAAAGCCCAACAATTAAAATAATGCTGATGAATTCCTGACCAGAATGGAATAAGAATCCCCCTTAGCTGACCAAGGACAAAGCCTGGCACTGACTTTCCTGTTCAGCACTGAGGATCAATACCCATTGCTTCAACACTGAGAGATCTGCAATTTCTCTCAGCATTTCTCCTCACCCAGCATGCTGAGTTAACAGCAATCCATATTTTATGTTCTTTGGTTAAGTTTTGGACATAAATGTGCCCACAATTTACTAGCCAGAAGCTACAAAGACACTTTAACCACACAGGTTATCTTACAATATATGTTCCCTCCACAGTAATGTCTTTTGAAAGCTAAGAATTTAGAGATGTTTTGGAAGGCAGCATATTAATTTTGAGATACATCCTCTGGTGCAATATACCTGTAAAAAATGTAATTTTTTTTTTCAGCTCTGGTTTTATACCTCTAGAAAAGAGCTGAATATTGGAAATATTTAATGCCTTCAGCTGCAGAACCAGTGTCTCATGCTGCAGGCTTGGATACAGAAAAAGCCTCTGGGTAGTAAATGAACCCTAATTAACTYTGAGTGCATCAGTTTTGATTAGCAGTTCTACACTGCTGCTATTTGCACTACCAGCAGGTTATCAGCAGCAAATTCCTCACGCCATAGAGACTGAATTGATTTAGAGCAGAAGGCAAGGACACCTCTCCAAAGAATCTGCTGCCTTTGTGTCCATTGCCCTTGCCTGGGTGCCCCAAAATCCRGGCTGACAGAAGCGTTCTGGATGTTTGGCCTCATTTTGCACCCAATATGCAGCAGCAGCTGGATTTCACATCCCCTCTGTCTCTCATCTATCAATGACTTGGCCTTCAGAATCCTAAATTAATATTTAATAACCTCAGATAGCATTATTGCTTGTCCTGCCCTTGCAGCTTTGCACAGTCCCTTTATCAAACGAGCTTTTCAAATGGCATTTAAACTTCTTTATTCCCTCTTCTCCTAAGAAAATACCTACGAATGGCCACTGAGCACTCTGGGACCATTTACTGTGCTTGTGCCAACCAACAGGGGACTCAAAGGTACTAATGTAAGTAAACAAAAAAAAAAAAAGGGGTTTCACATCAGGGGAATTTGGCTTCTGCAGSAATCTCATCTGTGCTGAAGTGTTTTGCTTCAAAGGTACAGATATTGTGCTCTAGGAAACTGCTGGACTCATTTAAATCTAGGGGCCACAGACTGCATTTTTCCTGCTTGAAAGAAAAATAAAATAATTCAGTGATTTAGGGTAAAACGCTATCACACCTCAAGTTTTGGACTGTCTCACATGACTGTGCTCTAAGTATTTCTCTTGGATGGATTAAGATCTGAGTTGTCAGCAGGGAGGCCTGCAGGTCACCTTTTACATAAGAGGGATTAAAAAAATAATGGCTTTAATGAAAAAAAAAACTAAAATACTAATATGTGAGCAGTCAGCACCTTCCACTGACATCTGGACAATTCTGGAGGCACCCACTGCTCATTCAGGGCCATCAGGGTACGATGTGAGCTGAACTGAAACCAAGAGGAGTCCCCCTTTTGTTCAGACTGCATTACCTAATTTCAGAGAAAAACATGTAATTTCAAGCTTAAAGACAACAAAAAAAAACCTCCATCATAACATTTGTTTTAATTAAACCTGCACTGAAATAAATCTCTGTTCTTCTGCTTTTCTAGATAAAGGATCTTCTGAAAAATAAGCAAAAAGCCCAGTACTTTGTGAAACTCCACGTTATTGCAGGTCAGCTGAACACCAGTAGCTTGAATAACACTGATGTGATTTATACTTTGACTGGCAAGGCAGCAGAGATGTCAAAGGGAGAAAAGGTGAGTGGCTTTTCAGCCTCCCTGTGCCCTCAGCAACCTGCAGGAAAGCTCTTTCTGCAGGGTGAGGAAAATCACAGCTTGTGGCCATGCATTACAGAGGGTTCAAGTAAAACTTGGAACCTCRCTGGTATCAAAGTTCATGCTAAAACCAGCAAAAAAAAAAAAAAAATTAGGCATGGATCAGCACTGGGTGACCAGGAAGACTAACACAGACTGGTCTAAAATCTTAAATCTGCAGGTGTGACCAAGTGGGCAGACATTAATAGAGCCCAGGTGAAGYGAGAGGTGACATGGGGACAGAAAAGCCCCGAGTTTGTGCTGGAAACCTATGAATGCTGCTCACATGGAACAAGCACTGATTGAAATGCAGATCCCACCYCATCAGCAGCCCTGAAAYGAGGGAGCAAATGGAATTCTGCAGCAGAGATAGGACACTTAGCAATTAAATTATCAATTAAATAAAATAAAATAGCAGAGTTCAGCACCAACCCAGATGTCAGCWAACATCAGGGCACTGATCCCACAGTTTAAGAAAGTTGTTCTCTATGGATAATACTCTAGATTTTATAATCTAGAATTGTTGTTCTTGGTCCATTGTGTGTCTCTCAATACATTGGGCCTACGTGGAGGCTGAAATCAAGTTTTTCTCATGTTCTGCAGTAGATCAGTGGCATCTGAACAGAAATATCAATCTTGTGTGTTCAGTGAGTGAGGACACACACTCCATTTGTAACAGGAAAATATCATCGCTGTTGGTTTCCTGCAGGCTCCAGAACAGTGCAGAATCAGCGACTTTTTGTTGTTTTAGATGTACACAGAACATAAGGAAATGGGTTGTAGTCCCGTAAGATTACAGGAGCTGACYTTTCCAGTATAACAATATTTAAAATMATTTACTGGCAGATTTTTATTACTMACATCCATCAGAACACTTTCAGGCGCACTGACTTGCCCGCTGGGCCTGTCTGTATTTCTCTTCTGAACTTTGCTGTCCTGAAACAAAAGAATTCTTTCCATTTCCTTGACGAGCACTRGAAGCAATCTTTAGTCTCCCCAGATTTAAATTGCTCAGGTGTTGGTGGAGGGGTGGGTCACAGSCCACATTCAACCTCTGTATTCTCTCTACTGTCATTTCATAATAAAGAATTCACTGTTCACTGCCTGGCTTCTTTCAGGAYAATCAGTTAAGGATTAGAATCCAAGGAGGAAAAGGGAAAGGAAAAATTTTGCAGGGAAATATCGTGGCTTCCAATGGAATTCTGCACATTATTGACAGAGCCATGGATAACACGGAGCCAACGTTCAAAAGCAGCAAAGAGGTGAGCCATGAGTTATGTACACACAATATCAAACTTTTCCTTAAATAATTTCATGTTTAGTGAATGGAAGGAGGAGGATGGCTGACAGGAACTACACCACACACAGATTGTATTTTCTGTGACTACACGGTGTTTCAGGATAATGACAAAATCTAATTATGAYCCAGAGTGGCACCAGGACAAAAGTGCTGCCCTCTCAGCCATTTCCAGGCACCCCCAGAGGAAATTTATTCAATCTGTAACAACTGAGACTCACACAGTAAGTAATGTCTCATAAGAACTGGCATTTATTTTATATTTCCAACTAAAAAAATCTTACTTTTGTCCTATTTCAGGAAACGATAATGTCGGTGCTTCAAGCTAATGGAAGATACAGCCAATTTACATCTTTGATAGAGGTAAGGATCCAGAAAAGCAATCACACCGAGCTGCTTTCAGATGTTTTTCTGTATTAATATGTGATTTAACTCTTCTTTTTAAACCAAAACAGAAAACTGGCCTAGGAGTAGATTTACAGCAGGACAACCGGCCTTACACAATTTTTGTTCCAAGTAACGAGGCTTTGAGGAATATGCAGCCTGAGGCTCTGGATTACCTGCTGTCTGCAGAGGTACAGRCTTTCTGTAGGGCAAATCTTTCTCAGCCAGGAGATGCCTACACGGATTGCCCAGTGTTCATGTTAATTAGCTCCTGTAATCAAGGCTGAAAGGAACCTCTCACAATTAAAGATCAGCACCTAGAGAGGAAGAGGGTTTGGGGTCTCCCATCAGGCACAGGGATGCTGTCTCATCCTCTTTCTGCTCCACAAGCCAGGCTGGGTTTGTGAGGCTCCTTTTGGGCTCAAACAGMGTTTTTTCTGGATTGGCAGGGCTCCTGGAAGCTGCTGGAGCTGCTCCGACACCACATTGTGTCCAACACCGAGGTGAGCACTGCTGCTCTCCCAGCCCAGAGGGTGAGAGTGAGAACCACTGCCAGGGGAATTGKGAGAGCTGCAGGGAAAGAAATCACTGCCACTGAAATCAAACTCTGTTTGGGCTGATTGTGAGCAAAATCAGCCTTTGGTTCTTCAGAAAGAGCAGGGGTGTCATTCTCTAAACGAGCCCCCTGTTTTGGGATATTGGGAAGGGAAGGAGGGAGGGAGG